TTCTTTATGCGTTCACCTCTGTCTCAACAGAGGTAAAATATAAGAGCAGGTTGTGGTCTTATTCAAGCTATAAAGTTTACCAATATATAATATATTGGCTATAGTTTTATATCAGTTTATGCTGTTAAGAGTTTTTTTTTTTGTCTTTTTATGGCGATAAATGTCTCTGTCAGGAATTGAGTTCACAACAGTCATCTTTTGAAGAGATGGAAAGAGCACTGATTGAAATTAGTCCAATCATGCATTTGATGACAGGGGGAACAAAACTTAAATGTACATTTTTATAACTATTCTATAACTATTCGAACCTGAATTATGTTTTTTTTTTTTTTGGACTATAGTTTTTGTATAAAATAATACAACTACATTTTTGAATCAGTTAAGGACAATTTTACTTGGATATGGAAGGCATTAGCTAAAGAACTAATGAAACTACCTTTAGTAAAATTATGAATATTAAAATTAAACTTTCACCACATGCATCCACATTCATCATGTAGCATACCTTTTATTCAACATGACCTCACCAAAACAAAAATACAAAAAAATGTAAATAAATTCATACCACAGCAAAGCCTGCATAAATAAAGTTCCTACAAAACATTGAAAACTTAAAAAACTCTCTTAATTTCCGTTTACTGTCTCACAAAGTTTTTGTGCAGATGTGAGTAATTGCAAAACCAATCTTTATCATAATGATATAATATGTAATGGTCAGGATCAAAGGTCAGGGCTATTCTTGCTGCTGATTTAAGTGATACTGCGATGCCATACCCCCCCTTCATTTTTTGGGATTGATGCTTCACGTAACTGTCTGCATGTGAGTAAAACATAGAGTAGCTCCAGAATTCTCACAAGGCCACAGAAGCTGTTATCTTCAACCACGCTGTGGGGTTAAATTTCCTTACAGATAAATGTAGTGACAGCCTTCGTAATTTTCTGGGCTCACAGAGAGATTGCCGGTAACTTGCACACAAATGACTTCTCAAGCTGCATTCGCTTCGAGGCAGATAGGGTTTGCGGGTGGTGTCTCGTTAAAAGGTTCGTTGTGTTGCCACATACTTAACCACTCTTGCATACCATTCGGCTCTTATCCAGTTCATTGCTGTTGTCATCTTTTTAAAATCTGAAACATTTCCGATTTTGTTGGTGGTGCTTTCTAGGGTTTTTTTCAATCCTGTTTTTTTTTTTTTACACTACTCACACTGTTGGTAACGAGAACTCACATTGTCTCCTGATAACTCACATGGTGGTTTGGGGAAAAGACATATTTAAAAGATTGAATGAAGGGTGTTATGAATCAATATGGATATGGAAAGGAAAATAAATTCAAATTGATTAATTGATTTTTTTCAACCCAGCCCTGGTAACAGGCCAGAACATTGGTGGTGCTAGCAGAAGTCGTATTGTATTATAGATTCATATTGGAAATATTCTGTCCTGTGGAACCAACTACCAGTCAATGAGGCAGACACCCTGTCTACTTTTAAGGCTAGGCTTAAAACTTTCCTTTTGATAATGCTTATAGTTAGAGTGGCTAAGGTTATCCTGAGCTAACTCTATAGTTATGCTGCTATAGGCTTAGACTGCTGGAGAACATAGGGACCCCTTTTCATCATTGTGCTTCATTCTATCTCTATTTACCCACTCTGCAGTATCCGTTCTGCTCTCTCTGCTTTTTCTCATAGTAGCTTCATCTGGTCTGTTCCTGTTTGACTGTGACTCCATCCTGGAGAGAAATATCAGCTGTGCTGCTGCCATCAACACCTTTTTTTTTTATATATATATAGATATTGGACATCAGCCTGTTTTTCAGTGTATTCCTGTTTCTCTGCCTGTGACTGGCTGGATGTGCACTCTTTCATCCTCTGACATGGAAGCTAGCTCGGAGTTTGTCTGCCTGGCTGTGTGTTTCCTGGACGGGGCCGCCTGTGGAGCTGGTTTACAGTTACCTTTTGTATCTCTGCTTATCTTTCTGTCTGCTTCTGTCTCCTCGAACCCCAGTTGGCCTCAGCAGATGGCCGTTCACACTGAGTCAGATTCTGGTTCTGCTGAAGTATCTTCCTGTTCAAAGGGAGTTTTCTTCTCCATTGTTGCTGCATGCATGGTCGGTTTGATAGATTTCTGAAAAGTCAAACTAAATGCAAGCTACAATTGTTGCAACAAGCTCATCCAGGAGGATCATGTCCTGCACAGCCATGACTTGATGCAATGAGATGGTCTTCCTTGATAGAAACCTTTAACCAATCTAATTCAATTATCTCTATAAAGTGCCTTTAGTTGATGGGTTGTGAATTGGTGCTGTATAATAAACAGAATTTGAATTGAGCTGCTGGTAATCTTCTAAACTTCCTTTCATTAAGTCTGTCCTGGGTTTGTCAATCTGATTGAAATCATCATAAAATAGGTCCAGACTGCAGTGAGGAGACATACAGAATGGATAATCTATAATAACATTAGCTCTATCCAGATATGCTACAGGTCTATGGATAAGAAAAAAAACATGCTTGCAAACCCCACATATCCTTAGCCAAACCATCTGGATGTTTTTCATTAGGTTGATACTACAAATTTCTTTTAGCTAAAATCAACCAACACAGAGAGACAGTTTCTTGTAATCAACCTAATGAACACTTAACAACCACTGTAACACAAATAAGATAATTTTTATTTAAACAAATTTAACCAGGTCTTTCTTTAGCAAAAATCTGAATGCATACAGGTTTGCAAGAATAATATTCCATTTTCTATTTTTTTTTTTTTATATATTTTTGTACCAAGTTTCTTTGTTGTGAGAAAAATCAAATTCTCTCTTAAATTAACCAACTTGGTGATTATCCATCATTTGATTGCAAACCTCTTTTCATGAGAATCATGAAGATGTAAAGTAACAGCAGCATGGAATGGGCGAACAAGGGCTGATAACTTGGAGGATGAAAAGAAAGCCATGTTACACAACAAACGCTGCGTCTTTCTGTGGTGTGTTTCTTTATTTATTCCAGAAAATGATAACAGCATGTTTCAATGACTGAGGGCCGGGACGATGGTTCCTTTGCAGAGTCCAAAACCCATTCTGTATCCGTCTCCTTGGCAGTGATCTGAGAACAAGATGTAATCAGAGATTATTACAACATAAAAAATACTTTATCTTATCATCGTAAGACATCATAATCTATTGCAGAGTTCTTCAACGTTTTCCAGGCCAAGGACCCCAAACTGTTGCCGAGATGGAGCGGGAACCTCCTAATTATATATATTGTATGAAGTTGTGATATATCAAACTGGTCCTATAGTCACTCTATATATGGATTAATGTAACAAAAGTAATTTCACCCCGGGGTTATTAAAGTATTACTGATTGTGATTCCTGTTTTACACCACACCATAACACCATAATATCTAACCTTTGATAATTTGCTTTATCTCCATCCTTTAAGAATGTTCTAGTTTTTCCTTCTTCAACATCAATGGTATTTGATCATCTCCAGGACAGCTCCAGCATAGACCCAAAACTATTTGGATTTTGTCAAAATAAAACAGGTTGAGTGTTTTAGTTTTCTCTGTGCACTTCCCACAAGCCAAGAATGATCTGCTGATTTTTGATGTTTAATGAGGTTTTAATGGCCGTAACTACCCTCCTTACATCATTTTAAACGTAAAAGTTTGGCATTATTGGAGAGTTACCTCCTGGCTGGTGGATTCTGACCAAAACTGAAACATCTCCTCCAAACTGCATTTTTTACAACATCAATTTCCCTTTACAGTCAATTATTTCAAAGATGTTACTGTTAGAAAATTAACAAACAAACCAGTGAACTCTGATTTCAAGTTCAAAGACATTTCGCTCCCCATCCAGGAAATAGCTTTGAGTTCGAGGCTTTATAGAGTAGCCCAAAACAATTCCTTGTTTTGGTTTAGAAAACACGCAAATTGACCCTAATGAATTAGTCTGACCCTAAGGAATGGGGTTGTTTGGCTTCTTTTTTAGCCTGCATTGCCCCATACCTGTCTATGTCTCTAAAAGGGGGTTGTTAAAGGGAATTGTTGGTCTGGCTGAATAGGCGAGGTCTTCTGTTCCCCTGTAAAGGGGATGGGCCTGCAATGATAGCGGAAAGAGATCAACCCTATTGCTGCATTGTAGGTTTTTGAAAGCAGAAATCTGAGTCCACCCCCTATGTTTAAGTTGGGTTTTTTCTGTCTTAACATAGATGGCTTTCTTCTTGCCCCTCTCAAACCACCTATTTTATTAATCCAAGATGGGAACATTATGATCCTCAAAAGAATGTACTTTGTCCATAAGGTGTAGATGTACAGCTGAGTCTTGTCCAGAGGAGGTCGCTCTTCTGTGTTGAGCCATGCGTCTGTGGAGAGGTTGTAATAAAGATCAGAGCATTCCTCGCTCATATTTGTTCTGGGGGTTTTGTCTTTAGGATGCACTAGTCTCTGTTACAGGGTCTTGTTTGGTGTGAAATGTAGTGGGATTTTGTGTTTAGAATAACTATGACCTGGATGACTGAGAATCTTTACCAGCATCCTGCCATGATAATAATAATTGAACTTTATTGATCTCACATCAGAGAAATTTACCTCTGTATTTAACCCAGCAGTGGGCTGCCATTGTGCGGCGCCTGGGGGGCATTGTGGGGTTAAGGGTCTTGCTCAGGGACCCATAGTGGCAGTCCGTGGGAGTGGGGCTCGAACTCAGAACCTCTAGATTCCAAGCTCTATGCCATAACCCCTAGGCCTGCACTCCCCCATATTTATGTAGAAAAACATTAGTAAATATTTCTAATGTCTGTTGATTGCTTTGTATTTAATTTACACTAAATATGGTTTGTAGAACAAATTTCCATGCTTTCTTACTAGCATTATAAGAGCAGCATATTTTTGATGTTCTTGTTCCACATAACCCACCTAAAACCAGGATTGTCCCTTTATATATTTTACACAGGGTGTGTTTTAGTTCTTTCAAATTTCGTGAATAAATACAAAAGTCAAAATTAATTCACAATTCTTGCGTTTATTAATAAACATAAAATGCGTTGATTTACAGCAGACAAACTGAATGTATTTTAATGCAACTTCAAACTAACACAGTATATATTGTTGCACAGAATAAAAATATATATATTTAAACAATCTTTAAAAAAACATTAATGCAGCAAGCAATGCCAAACAGAATCAAACATGTGCTTTTTTTTTTTTTTTAGATAATTTTAACACAAATGTAAAAAAAACTTACATGATCCATACTCATTTGTATAATAATGCTTATTTATTTAAGATACTTAATTATCAGGTTTATGTATTTAGAGATAATAAAGTATACTTATTCAAATGTAATACTAATAGATAGTATTTGTTTCAAATAAAGTTTACTGGATGGAATGGTTTGTTTCTGAAGGGGAACATCCTATTCCACAAAAATCTGCACTTATTTAAGGTCTTTGATATAAAACGGGGCCTAATGAGTTTCCTCCATCATCTATTTACTTGGTGTGATCTTATCGACCCCTGGCCATGCCGGGACGTAGAAACGAGGCAAGGTCCCCTCCATGAGTCTTTCCATCCACAGCCCCAGCCGGTCCAGCTTGTGGTGGATCTGTAGAGTGGACGTGCTGCGAGAGCGCCCGGATTTCCTTGGAGGATGACCGGGCCTCGATCTGCCTGCTGACGCCGCCGCTTCGTCCTCGGACGACTTGCCTTCGAGGTCCTCTCCCGTGTAGACGGGCTTGAAGAGACACAGGTACTTTTTGTGGCCGTTCAGCGCCAGCACGAAGCCAGTGTAGTCCACTTTACGGCTCCCGCCTTCGTCGTCATCCACCTGCGCCGCGCCCGGTGCGTATTCCAGGAGGGCGCTCATCCAGTCGCCGTGCTTGTCGAGGTTCAGGAAGGAGAAGTGAAGTGTGTGACTCCTGCAGACCAGAGGAAATATCAGAAAGTTGGTGTAGTCTAGAAACCCATACAGGGTGTAGAGATTGCACTGTAAAAAATTATTTTTTTCTTAAAATAAGTGTGTTTGTTCTTGAATTGAGAAGGTAAAAGAGACATTTTGCCAATGGAACAAGACAATTTACATTTAAAATAAGAAAACATAATTGCATTGTCATATTTCAAGTGCGCTTTATCAAAATATCTTATTTTAATAGTAAAAATACTAATTCCATTGGCAAATCATCTCATTTACCTACTAAAATTAAGGGTAAATACACTTAATTTAAGAAATGTTTTACTTTTTTTTCCAATGTGGCGACTCTTTACCCCGTAAAGGAATACACTTCTTTAGCAAACTTGCTAAGAAGGATGTTCTTGGAGGCGTCAGTGAGGACCAGGACTATGTTGATGTGTCCAGGCCTCAGCTTCACCAGGTTGCTCATGTAGGTGATGTCCGTCAGCTCGGTCACCTCCACAAAAGTCTTTTTCGGAGGTCTGCTAAAACAAAGCGAAACAAAGCTTAAATTAATGCAGAAAGCTTTTATTTAATCCCATGTAGACTGAGTAGTATTCTTGCCGTGAGGCGCTGCTAGTCTCTGATGACCCATTTTCTGCTTTAGCTCCATCTTTTGCTTTTGGTTTCATCTGCTTATCCTCACTGGAGTCACTGCAATGAGAGAAATAAAGCCGTTTGCTTGTTTCTCCAGTGTTTTAATCAGAATCCAGATGAATGATCAGAGCAGGTGAAGGGAAGCCACCTGAAAGCCTGGATCACTACGGTTCCAAACAAGATGAACAAAGCAGAGAAGATGAGGGACAGGAGAGGCATCATCTCACGCCTGAAAGGAAAAAACAGTTGGAACACTTCTATCAATCTAAACTTTTGCTTCAAAATGAAAAGCGGTGCCCACCAGTTGTTATGAAGAATGTCATCAATGACTTCAGAGAGGTAATCGTAGGATGAAGAGATCCACCGGACCACAAACATCTAAAGAGATGTTACACCCAGAATGGTGAGAAACAAAGCAGCAGTTTGTCTTTAAGTAACACCAGCTGCAAAAATGACCACCCCACCGAGGCAAACTCGTTGTTGAGTTCAGGTAGCAGGACGTCATGGATGAGGATGGACGGGTCCTTCTGGAGTCGCTCCAGCTCCTCCAAGAGACGCAGCTTGTCTTCCTCACTGCCGTTCCACGCCGTCACTGGCTTGAAAAACGCTTTGCCGGCGGCGTTACGCCTCTCCAGTATCACCACCTGCACACACCCAAACACACCGCCGCCAATAAAAGCCTCAGTAAAGGATGAACAAGGAAGGAAGGAAGGAAGAAAGAGAGAGAGAGAGAGAGAAAAATAGAAAGAAAGAAAAACAGCATTACATAAAAAGATTTCTAAAGTACAGAGTGACTGATCCTAACATTTGATTAAATATCTAAAAATCTTTTTATTTAACAGACAGAAAATATAGTTCTATTCATTCTGGTATTTAAAAAAACCTAAAATAAACACAATATAAATAACATAAATTATTATTCTATTAATAGTGAACATATCATTCAGAAGAAACACTATTTCATACCATCGTTTTTACATATATACCCCCAAACACTTACAGTAGTTAAGTTCTGTATGTTAGAACAAAGTAAAGATTCTGGTGCATTTTTGATTGTAATGAGCTTCATTCAGGGACCGGATGGGAAATCTTTCCCTAAAGTCAGAGCAGCAACACTATCAAAAAAAGAACAGTGGACTTAAACTACTCCCAAAAAGTATATATTATATCGCTGAATTGAAGTCTAAGGAATGTAAGAAAGGAAGGATGGAAAAATGGAAGCAAGTAAGGACCCAAGGATGAAAGGATACAGAGTAGGAAGAAAGAACATACATAAGGAAGACAGGACCCAAGGAAGGAAGGTAGGAAGGAAGGAACAAACACTGGAGCAAAGGAAGAATCAAAGGAAAACAGGAGCGAAGGAAGAGACGAAGAAAGAAAGAAAGAAAGGAAGAAATTAAGTAAGGAAGAAAGGAAAGAAAACAGAAGCGAAGCAAGAAACGAAGGACGACGGGTTTGAAGGAAGAAACAAAGGATGACGGGATTGAAGGAAGAAACGAAGGACGACGGGATTGAAGGAAGAAACAAAGGATGATGGGAGCGAAGGAAGAGATGAAGGGCGACGGGGTCGAAGGAAGAAACGAAGGACGACGGGAGCGAAGGAAGAGACGAAAGAAGACAGGAGCGAAGCAAGAAACGAAGGACGACGGGTTTGAAGGAAGAAACAAAGGATGACGGAATTGAAGGAAGAAACGAAGGACGACGGGATTGAAGGAAGAAACGAAGGATGATGGGAGCGAAGGAAGAGACGAAGGGCGACGGGGTCGAAGGAAGAAACGAAGGACGACGGAAGCGAAGGAAGAGACGAAAGAAGACAGGAGCGAAGGAAGAGACAAAGGAAGAAAGAAAGGAAGAAATTAAGTAAGGAAGAAAGGAAAGAAAACAGAAGCGAAGGAAGAAACGAAGGACAACGGGATCGAAGGAAGAAACGAAGGATGACGGGAGCGAAGGAAGAAACGAAGGACAACGGGATCGAAGGAAGAAACGAAGGATGACGGGAGCGAAGGAAGAGACGAAGGAAGACAGGAGCGAAGGGAGAGACGAAGGAAGAGACGAAGGAAGACAGGAGCGAAGGGAGAGACGAAGGAAGACAGGAGCGAAGGGAGAGACGAAGGAAGACAGGAGCGAAGGGAGAGACGAAGGAAGACAGGAGCGAAGGGAGAGACGAAGGAAGACAGGAGCGAAGGGAGAGACGAAGGAAGACAGGAGCGAAGGGAGAGACGAAGGAAGACAGGAGCGAAGGGAGAGACGAAGGAAGACAGGAGCGAAGGGAGAGACGAAGGAAGACAGGAGCGAAGGGAGAGACGAAGGAAGACGGGAGCAAAGGAAGAGACGAAAGAAGACAGGAGCGAAGGGAGAGACGAAGGACGACGGAAGCGAAGGAAGAGACGAAAGAAGACAGGAGCGAAGGAAGAGACAAAGGAAGAAAGAAAGGAAGAAATTAAGTAAGGAAGAAAGGAAAGAAAACAGAAGCGAAGGAAGAAACGAAGGACAACGGGATCGAAGGAAGAAACGAAGGATGACGGGGAGCGAAGGAAGAAACGAAGGACAACGGGATCGAAGGAAGAAACGAAGGATGACGGGAGCAAAGGAAGAAACGAAGGACAACGGGATCGAAGGAAGACACGAAGGAAGACGGGAGCAAAGGAAGAGACGAAGGAAGACGGGAGCAAAGGAAGAGACAAAGGAAGACGGGAGCAAAGGAAGAGACGAAGGAAGACAGGAGCGAAGGAAGAGACGAAGGAAGACGGGAGCAAAGGAAGAGACGAAGGAAGACAGGAGCGAAGGAAGAGACGAAGGAAGACAGGAGCGAAGGGAGAGACGAAGGAAGACAGGAGCGAAGGAAGAGACGAAGGAAGACGGGAGCAAAGGAAGAGACGAAGGAAGACAGGAGCGAAGGAAGAGACGAAGGAAGACAGGAGCGAAGGGAGAGACGAAGGAAGACAGGAGCGAAAGGAGAGACGAAGGAAGACAGGAGCGAAGGGAGAGACGAAGGAAGACGGGAGCAAAGGAAGAGACGAAAGAAGACAGGAGCGAAGGGAGAGACGAAGAAGACAGGAGCGAAGGAAGAGACGAAAGAAGACAGGAGCGAAGGAAGAGACGAAGGAAGACAGGAGCGAAGGGAGAGACGAAGGAAGAGACGAAGGAAGACAGGAGCGAAGGGAGAGACGAAGGAAGACAGGAGCGAAGGGAGAGACGAAGGAAGACAGGAGCGAAGGGAGAGACGAAGGAAGACAGGAGCGAAGGGAGAGACGAAGGAAGACAGGAGCGAAGGGAGAGACGAAGGAAGACAGGAGCGAAGGGAGAGACGAAGGAAGACAGGAGCGAAGGGAGAGACGAAGGAAGACGGAGCGAAGGGAGAGTCGAAGGAAGACGGGAGCGAAGGAGAAGACGAAGGAAGACTGGAGCGAAGGGATGAGACGAAGGAAGACAGGGAGCGAAGGAAGAGACGAAAGGAAGACAGGGAGCGAAAGGAGAGACGTAGGAAGACAGGAGCGAAGGAAGAGACGAAGGAAGACAGGGAGCTGAAGGAAGGAGACGGAAGGAAGACATGAGCGAAGGAAGAGACGAAGGGAAGACAGGAGTCGAAGGGAGAGACGAAGGAATACAGGAGAGAAGTAAGAGACGAAGGGTAAGGACGGGAGCAAAGGAAGAGACGAAGGTAGACAGGAGCCGAGGAAGAGACCGAAGGAAGACAGGAGCGAAGGGAGAGGAACCGAAGGAAGACAGGAGCGATAAGGAGAGACGAAGGAAGACAGGAGCGAAGGGAGAGACGAAGGAAGACGGGGACAGAAGAGACGAAAGAAGACATCAGGGCGAAGGGAGGAGACGAAGGAAGACAGAGCGAAGGAAGAGACGAAAGACAGAGCGAGGGAGGACCGAGGCAGACAGGCTCAAGGGAAGAGACGAAGGAAGACAGGAGCGAAGGAGAGACGAAGGAGGAGCGAGGGAGAGACGGGAGAGACTAAGGAAGACAGGAGCGAAGGGAGAGACGAAGGAAGACAGGAGCGAAGGGAGAGACGAAGGAAGACAGGAGCGAAGGGAGAGACGAAGGAAGACAGGAGCGAAGGGAGAGACGAAGGAAGACAGGAGCGAAGGGAGAGACGAAGGAAGACAGGAGCGAAGGGAGAGACGAAGGAAGACAGGAGCGAAGGAAGAGACGAAGGAAGACAGGAGCGAAGGAAGAGACGAAGGAAGACAGGAGCGAAGGAAGAGACGAAGGAAGACAGGAGCGAAGGGAGAGACGAAGGAAGACAGGAGCGAAGGAAGAGACGAAGGAAGACGGGAGCAAAGGAAGAGACGAAGGAAGACAGGAGCGAAGGAAGAGACGAAGGAAGACAGGAGCGAAGGGAGAGACGAAGGAAGACAGGAGCGAAAGGAGAGACTAAGGAAGACAGGAGCGAAGGGAGAGACGAAGGAAGACGGGAGCAAAGGAAGAGACGAAAGAAGACAGGAGCGAAGGGAGAGACGAAGGAAGACAGGAGCGAAGGAAGAGACGAAGAAGACAGGAAGCGAAGGGAGAGACGAAGGAAGACAGGAGCGAAGGAAGAGACGAAAGAAGGACAGGAGCGAAGGGAGAAGACGAAGAAGACAGGAGCGAAGGGAAGAGACGAAGGAAGACAGGAGCGAAGGGAGAGACGAAGGAAGACAGGAGCGAAGGGAGAGACGAAGGAAGACAGGAGCGAAGGGAGAGACGAAGGAAGACAGGAGCGAAGGACAGAGACGAAGGAAGACAGGAGCGAAGGGAAGAGACGAAGGAAGACAGGAGCGAAGGGAGAGACGAAGGAAGACAGGAGCGAAAGGAGAGACGAAGGAAGACAGGAGCGAAGGGAAGAGACGAAGGAAGACGGGAGCAAAGGAAGAGACGAAAGAAGACAGGAGCGAAGGGAGAGACGAAGGAAGACAGGAGCGAAGGAAGAGACGAAGGAAGACAGGAGCGAAGGAAGAGACGAGGCAAGGACAGGAGCGAAGGAAGAGACGAAGGAAGACGGGAGCAAGGAAGAGACAAAGGAAGACGGGAGCAAGGAAGAGACGAAGGAAGACAGGAGCGAAGGAAGAGACGAAGGAAGACGGGAGCAAAGGAAGAGACGAAGGAAGACAGGAGCGAAGGAAGAGACGAAGGAAGACAGGAGCGAAGGGAGAGACGAAGGAAGACAGGAGCGAAGGAAGAGACGAAGGAAGACGGGAGCAAAGGAAGAGACGAAGGAAGACAGGAGCGAAGGAAGAGACGAAGGAAGACAGGAGCGAAGGGGAGAGACGAAGGAAGACAGGAGCGAAAGGAGAGACGAAGGAAGACAGGAGCGAAGGGAGAGACGAAGGAAGACGGGAGCAAAGGAAGAGACGAAAGAAGACAGGAGCGAAGGGAGAGACGAAGGAAGACAGGAGCGAAGGAAGAGACGAAAGAAGACAGGAGCGAAGGAAGAGACGAAGGAAGACAGGAGCGAAGGGAGAGACGAAGGAAGAGACGAAGGAAGACAGGAGCGAAGGGAGAGACGAAGGAAGACAGGAGCGAAGGGAGAGACGAAGGAAGACAGGAGCGAAGGGAGAGACGAAGGAAGACAGGAGCGAAGGGAGAGACGAAGGAAGACAGGAGCGAAGGGAGAGACGAAGGAAGACAGGAGCGAAGGAAGAGACGAAAGAAGAC